ATCCCTTTAGACCACAATCCTGTGCTGCTGCAGCATGGACAATCCTGTCCAACTACAAAGCACAACATTCTCTTCTGCTCAGCTTCAATTAGCTGTGCTCTGATACATCTCAATACAACTTCAGTACGGCTTCAGTAAAATTTAAATGTGGCTCAAAACATCTCAATTCAACCTCAGTGCTTCTCAATGCAGCTTCAGTACTCTGTCCCTATGTCTTAATACGGCTCAGTACATCTCAATACAGCTGCAGCACATTTAAATACGTCCTCAGAGCCTGACACTATTCAGTAGCTTAGATTCTCTACCTGAAGGTTTAGGAAGGTTTGTTGCTGCTGTGAAAGAATGATTGAGAGAATGGAGAGAATTCCAGTTGGGATGCTCAGTGATGAGTTCAGCTTGACTCATAACGACTGGATCTTTACGCTGACTTAACAAACTAAATGGTTGTTGAATTAATTAATTGGCACTGAAGTATGTTGGCTGGCTCTGGATGTCCTAAGAATGACTAACACCACCTTGGATCAACATTTACCCTAAATAACGTGTGCCAGTGTTTACTGTCCTCTCCTGAGCTGAATAGAATAATAAACACTTGGACTAAGCTTGTAACTACCAGGTGGAATAGTAAAAAGTGATTGTTTTTAACCTTGTGTCTATGTATTTGATATTGTACACTTGTATGCCTACACTTGTCACTACTCTGAATTACATAAAAATAAATAGAGTGACACTCTGGGAGTAAAAGTTAGGAGGGAACGGTATTCCTGAGTTTGAAAATCTATTCGATGAATTTTATAGGGGAAATCGCTTATAGCTGTTTACACAGTTTCTAAAGAGCGTTCATGAAACGTGATTGTGTAACTGATTGTGCTTGAATGCACCACAAATCCGTTGTCAGTAGCTCTCTGAAATGTTTCTCATTTTTAAGTAGCTGTCACAATAGTGAGTGAAACCAATAAATGTAATCTAGTCATAGGTTAAAAACACGGAGTTCGATATTCAGGCATTTAATTCATCAATTTCATTCATTCAATCTTTTTTATCGAGTCCTCATCAGAATTGTTGTGTAGTGCAGGATAAAGCCTAATGTTATGCAGATGTTTTACCTAGTTGTACCTGATCCCATATTGATGCCTGCCACTTCAGTAACTTGACATTAGAAACATCTAATGTTCTCAAAGGAGGAGCGCAGTGAGACCCTGCAGATCCAAAAGGATACGCAGGAGGAGGGTCTTTATACACACACACAAACGCTAAAACATGTGGCCAGCTGCATGGAAGCTCTTAACACCAGCAGAGAAACAGAGAGAGAAAGATAACAAGGACACCGTGGCTGCTCTGATTGTCCTGCTTGTTGGATTATAAAAAAGCTTGCCATATTACTGCTGCCGCTAGTCAAGTTGACAATTAACTGCAGGCCACCGGGAAATGTTTACAGTTACATTCACAGTTACACAGCTTTTACTTGACCATTTCTGTTTTTGAAGGTGGGTTTAAATGTAAATCATATTTTATTATTTGAATAATTTAATAACACATCATTATGTTAGAATTATTAAGTTATTATTACTTTTGTGAGCAGGTTAAGTAATATGAGGAGTATTAATGATACTACTTAACAACTGAACACAAAATAAAAGCAGATACAACAGAAACTGATTATAGTGTTGCATTGTATCCCTATTAAGCATAAAATCAACTGACATATTAAAGCATTTTGACACAGGATTCCTCCACAAACAGAGCTTCAAAAGGTAAAATGTTTCATGCCATCATTGAACATAATGTTAACATCAGATGGAACATCACTTTGTCACAGTAATCCTAACCTGGATCCACAAACTGGTATCCTATCAACACAATTACACTAAAGGCTTCATTACTGTGATGGAGACGTCATTTTTCAAATGGAGAGGATTTATCCAGGAGGGGAGGTGGTGCAATAAAGATTAAAAATCACCAAATCCTTGGAAATGTTTGGAACTGCATGAACTGCATGTTACATACACAGGAAGAGAAAAAGACAGGCAGAGAAAGATTAACAAAATATATGCTGGTGCTACACAGGGAGCATCATACTTTTAAAATAGAGCCAAGAGCCACAGACAGGGTAGGGCAGTCATAAAGTGTTGACACACTAACACATTATTGGCTAGCCTCTGCACATAGAATTTGTGCGAAAATACTTTTAAAAACACCAACTTTTTGATGAATTTTGTTTGAAATTCATTTATTTGCCCCCTATAGCGTACACTATGAATTACCTCTCTGCTAGATGCTCTACAAATAATCTTGCTTTGTCTAACACTGCACCTGTTGGCCATAACAGCTTTATTAAAAACTGAATGTGAATAAAATAACGTTTAATAAATAACTTTTTCTAAAGAATACATGAGATTCACAATAAATCTATTGTTTGAATTCAGAAAAATTAACACCACCATATCCCTGCAACTACATTAAAAAGCATTGTCTGTAAGCACTGTACACTACATGTCACATTCAATACTGATGGCAGAAGCTAAGGTGCCAACTGCTCATCAGAAACTAATCATTCACACACTCACAGGAGCAGTTTGTGGTTCAGTAGCACACTTCAAGCACACTTCAGACATGCAGACTGGAGGAAGTGGGGATGGAACTGCAGAGCTTCTGATTAGTGGGCGATCAGCTCTACCTCCTGAGCCACAGGCTGCCGATTGAGCAGCTTATTGAGAGTTGAAGTATCAATTACTGTGCTCATTTTGAGTTAAAACTGAAGAGGAACTCCAATAAGAGGCTTTACTGAAGTGAGAGCAATGTGAAGAGAGGCCAGTCACCCATTAGGTACTTGTACTCACAGGCTACTTAGCAGCATAAGAGGCTTTTGCTGGCTGTATGGAAGCCAAACAATAAACAACTGTAGAGAGCAGTCCAATACAACTGTTGTGCTGACTATGGCTAACCTTAACTGGCTGAAGTGAGGGAGGAAGGTTCAGTAAGAGGTTTTCACTGAGTACAAAAGACAGCTAGATACAGACATGTGATGAAGACGTCCAGCCCACCCTGGATACTTAAAAGACTGACCTTCAACAAAAGGCTTCTGCAGGGACCCAGCTGATCAACTGTCTCAATAAAGCCTCCTCCCACAGGACCAGCATAACCTGAATGCTTTGTGTGATTGGTGATAATTACTGAGTTTGTTACTGGTCTAAATTCGCTGGGAATCTGACATTTTTGGGAAGAAAAAAAGCCACAAATTGCTTTTTAAGTGGATTATTAATAACAGACACAGTAGAAAATATTAAAAGATTGGTTCACAGAAACTACTAATTATTTTTTTTCTATTGAGGCAGATAATTGGGGTTTAATTTAAAACCAGGTTTTGATATCTAAGATTTCTGCCTCCACCCAAATACCATATGGATGAATGGAATGTATTTTGAGCTGCTCAATTCATGGACAAATGTTATACAGTGCTGCATTATAAAAAATACTCATGTGAAATAACGACAGTATTAGCAGCAAAATTTTATTATTATTTTTTTTAATTAAATGAAAGTAAACATTCATTCTCATGGATCATCATTGTATAATGTATAACTCACTTAAATGGCCAGCACTCAATATAAGAAGACACATTCAGTGGCTTCAACTCATATTTAAATGTGTACATTTTAACTATCCTCATTATCTACCAGTCTAACAGTTTTTGGTACCGTATTCAATGAACTTGTACAACAACGTACTCAGAGTTATCATTAGATTTTCCATCATTGGATTATTGTCACTAATGCATTAAACATTTAAGAGAGAGAGAGAGCAGGAGGAAGGAGAACACCTCCAAAACTCAAACTGGGACCTCGTTCCACAGGAGAGGAGCTTGATAGCTGAAGGCTTTGGCTCCTATTCTGCTTTTGGGGAACGACTATTGTAGGCAGGGGCAGACTGGCACAAGAATTCAGGCCGGCAATTTGACTCGATACCAGGCCACCTTGTTCACACAAACCACCAAACCGCTAATTTCTGTGGACTAACCTTTTTATATACAATCTATGGCAGGGGTTTTCAAAGTCTGAGACTGCGGGCCTCAGACAAAGCTTGGGAAATGGCACCCCCCCACCACATCTTTAATTTACTTGGTAAATTTCCCTCAATTCCTGGATGCTATGATATCATGATTATAAGATCTTATCCCATAGACACTCAACATTTGAGAGAAAATAACTAATATTGCTGTTTGACACAACTTCTGACTGCACCCAAAACTGCTGTTGCTCTGAACTCTCACACATGCAGGCTATTCTATGTGATCTCCTTTTGATAACTAATGCAATAAGTAATGTAATATTGTTTCATTTCCATTCACTGATCTACACTTTGAAAGCCCCTGGTCTATGGGACAAACCCTATTTGTTGATGTAACAGGTACCAAACCAGGTATAGTCTTTGTTCATCTACTGACTTTGATCATTAAAGTAGCATATGTGAACACTGTGTTTTCAAGACAAGGGCGGAGCTTCATCACGGTGCCATGACCCCGGACTCACTGAGTCTGTCTGCGTCGCGGCTGCCGGAGTGGATCAAAGTCATTCTAGTCTGTGCTCACACCAGAAGCGCTGCACTGTGTCCCAGAAGTGTCTCCCGCTTCGCTCCAGAGAGAAGCAACCAGTGTATTTTTGCGCCGCATCCGTCAAGCAGCACTGAGCAGATGAACCGGGCAGGAAGTCAGACATAAAAAGGCAGAGAATCCGGTCAATTTTCAAAATAAAATATCCTGTACAGACTCCCGATCGTATATATCAACAATAAACACAGTAAAAACACTAATCGGCAAATCAACAAAATCTAGATATGTCAGCAAAATCACACAGGCAAAACGCTGTTATTCTGAAATGCTCCTTGTGGGATGAGGGAACTAATGCGGGCGCAGCGAAGAAGGAAGTAGAATCACAAAAGGACAAATAACAAGTTATTAAAGTTGTGCAGGCACACTCTGCTGCACAACCCGTTCTCATCAATGTGCGTACAAATAACACGGCTTTACACTTTCCAATTGCGTGCGCTGTGTACACCAAACTCCAATTGTGCGTGCATATGATACGCAAATCCTTCCCATTAACTTTGGTGGACAGCAGATCCGTCCACTATTCAAAGCAGGTAAACGGGGGAAACCCATTATAACCTCTATTTTTGCCATGAAGTCACAGTGTTTACGGTATCATTTCGTTCATTTTAGTGCTTCTGCCTCACGTTACATTGGTTGATGTGTCAAAATGACTGCAGCTTAGTTGTAAGTGGAACAGTGGGCTGCTCAGTTAGCATCGCTGCTAACTTACCCAACTATTGACATTAGCCTAAGCTAACTTCTACTCTATCCAGAACTGTTGCAGCATCAAAATAAAAAATATAAAACTGTTTTAACCACGTTGTGACATGGACTTTATCTTCAAGACATGGCTGATGACAGTTCCACAAATTAACAGACTTAATTAGTGTTAGCAATCATTTTTAGCTGTTAGCTAAAGTGGTAACGTTAGCCTATGGAACCTCGTTGGGGTCACTTGTCAAAAAAAATCATGTGGGTTTCTCAGTGCGCACGTTCATCTAAACCGGATTTATTCCCACATTGGTGGCAACATGGCACATGTTTAATCCCTAAAAATCGTGCGTTTAGAAAAACATGTTAATGCATACATTTCGAAAGGCAATTTTGTGGCGGCCACTGGGGAGTCCATGCTTGAAGTTATCTGTGGGTGCGGATTCCAAGACGTAACCTAAACTGGCACCAGATCAGTATTTCGCATTAAACTGCCTATATTCACCAAACAAGCTGATCTGCCAAAATAACTCAGCCAGACATTACTAGTTGCTTGCAGTTGCATGATACTGTAGGATTGGATTAGGCTACTATTCCTGGCAAATTTGACTGCTAAATTCATTGTATACAGTACATTTTACCTAAAGAACATCAAGTAAGATGTAGACTAGAATCTTTGTTTCCAGCTAAACAAACAAACGACTACAAAAACAATTACATTAGTCAGCAAGTTTGAGTTACAGGCAGATCTCCGATGTAAGTGACACATTTATTTTTTGTGTCAGTACAATGTCAAGTGGAAAGAAAAACAAACTAGAAGCTGTTCTTCTGCTTGGGGATGCATTTGTTGAAGAGATACAGGCAAGTTTCATTCTTGTTGTGTGTAATTTATTTAACTCCAGTAACTTAATCCTCCATCTGTGTTTTATTACATGTCATGTCCATAAAGAAATGTAACACAGAGTCACACACTCAGAAGCCTGAAGTTACAGGACAATCTAAAGTGACCTGGTGGAAGAGGGACCATGATGGTCAGCGTGTGACTACCAGCAAACAGAGGAAAAAAGGTTCATCTGCTGGTAAGTATCCATGTTATCAAATGATGTTAATACTTTCAAGGGAGAGTAATTTGGGGTAGCTACTGATTTGATGGTGTTGCTGGTACTCAGTATCACTGCAAGTTTTCCAGATGTTTTAGTTTTGTGAGATTTTTTTCTTATTTTAAATCTTGCAATGAGTTGGTCTAATGGTGTTTGTTATATTATTATTTTTTGAACAGTTGGTACTTCTCCATGTGCTAGTTTCTCTGTCACAACGTCACCAACTCCTAGCTACAATAATTCTGGTAAGTGGAAAAACTACTTTAAATATCCTTTTCAAAGAAAGGTATTCTTCAAATGAAAACAAGAATTTAAGTCAAAAGTAAGCCTCATTACAGCTACTCTTTGCTATGTTTGGTAACTGGTTCGCTAATGATGTTTTTCCCGCAGTCCCCTAACATGCCTCTAATATAAGTTACCACAATTTAATGCGTCAAGCTCTGTCCATGATACAGAAGTAGGAAAACGTTTGAACAACCACGTGACTTTTCTGATATAGACTGATACTGTTGTCTGTTTCACGGTTGTGGGTTTGATTTCCAGTTTCCTTCCACCCATTGCATTCTCTGCTATCACTGGGATGTCCCTGTATTGAAATCAATGGAAATACCAAAAAGGAAGTCAGTGGTAGTGTAATTGAAAATGTGGGAGTTCTGGTATCTTTCTCTTTTTTCTTTTTAAAGATTTTAATATGCAGAGGCTTGAGAACCCTCTACGGGATTCAGAGAGTTCCTGTGAATCTGCTGCTTTTGCAATCTCTGTTGGTAGATCCATCATACTGGTTTGCATAAATGGTAGGATTGTGTAAAAAATAAATGTTGTTTATCTAATACATTACTGTAGCTTCTTGTTAGGGCCCGAGCACGACCGTGCGAGGTCCCTATTGAATTTGCTCAGATTATTAGGGCCCGAGCACGACCGTGCGAGGTCCCTATTGAATTTGCTTGGATTATTTTTAGGGCCCAAGCACGACCGTGCGAGGTCCCTATTGAATTTGCTCAGATTATATAAATATATATATATTTAGGGCCCGAGCACGACCATGCGAGGTCCCGATTGAATTTGCTTGGATTATTAGGGCCCGAGCACGACCGTGCGAGGTCCCGATTGAATTTGAAACAGGAAGTTGTTGTAACTTCAGTGTATATGCTCACATCTGGACCAAACTGTACATGTAGGATGAGAGTCCCGCCCTGAACACATGTACATGCCGACATTCACCCACAGTCATAGCACCACCTGCTGGCAACAGAAAGTGACCTTTAACGAAGCAGCCCCCGCCACACGTTTCACCTACGTGCACGAATTTTCTGTGGTACGTGTATCTTGTCCAGACGCACAAAAAAGTCTCTTTGAGCCATAGCCTAAACCCAACATGAAGTGGCCATTTTGCCTGCTCTGCCTGCAGACATCAACGATCTTGCCCCTCACACAGTCAGATGGCTTCCTTCAGTGCGCTGAGGTGTTTAACAACTCTGAAGACAATACTACCAGCCATGTCTTCCTTCTCTTTTCACGTAGACGCACCGACAGACAGTGCTTTCAGTTTGCTGCATGCATGGACACAAAACTTCGGTTTAGGAAGAAGCACACGGTCAGCTGGCTGCAGCTAAATCTGGAGTGCACTCGTATTCAATTCTGTATGATAAATTCAGTTTTAACGGAGCAGAGCGAGCTGACAGGCAGAGTTAGAGACTTTTTCTGTCCGTTTCTCTCTTTACAAAGACGCATGTTGCAGTCAGAGTCTTCACTGAGATGCAAGCACGACATACAACACAATTTATCAAATTACACAACGGATATACAGTATGAAAATAAGATTGATTGGATTATACTCACAGGAAGTATAAAACCTGGTACATGCGTCTATTAAAAGTAAAGTAACACAAAAATGTCAGGGAAATTACTTAGATTTAAGTACTGCAGTTGTACATTTGAAATACCTTCCTACCTTTCTGATAGGAAGCCTTCTTGAGGTGGTATAAAACATTTCTTCTTATATTCTGATTTGAGTTGTGGACAACTATGACCACATGAATTAAAAAAATGAAACATTTCACTGCCCAAGTCAGCTATAACACAAGTCTTGTTCATCAGACTACATGCTGTACAGTATTTGACTACAGATTTTGTCCCAGGATTTATTATGCATTTCTTCTTCTTCGTTGCATGATTTAGAATAATAAGGTGAGAAATGGGTCTGTTCTGAGTTCATCCTGCACTGCAGCAGCTAATAAAGTCCATTTAATCCCAAAAACGCTTTTCTTTTAGGCAGGCTGGAGCAGAAAACAACTCACCTTTCTCAAGTTGTACAGTAATGTCTCATGTGTATGAAGGTGGATCAAACAAGCTAATCTTAAATTTCCAAGTAGAGAGGAGCCTAGTAGGCCTATTTATTTCCATTCATTACACAATATGAATAAGCTATGCAGACAGTTGTAAAGAAAGAACATCTTTTTCTTCTGTTCTCTACTTGTTATAGTTACACAGTATTAGGGGTGTGGGCTGTATTAAAAGTATCCACTGTTCTCCCATGCTCTAACACTCAGTAACGATGAAATGTGTGCTGTTCTCACATTCTTCCTCTATTGTTTGGGTACATTATTGTTCGGTGTACATACTCACATCTGAAACAAACTTTACGTGCTTGATAACTCTCCCACCCCGCAGACATCTACACGTCAATACCGATTTATATTCATAGCGGCAAGTGCTATGTAGCTCCACATAGGGGACACAGGAAGTGACATATAGCACCTTCATGCGGCGTCGGAACCGCGTAGGAAATTCACAGCCGCACCGGCAGAGCTCCAGAATATGCAACGCTGCTTGCAGCTTTAATTAGGGCCCGAGCACGACCGTGCGAGGTCCCTATTGAATTTGCTCGGATTATTAGGGCCCGAGCACGACCGTGCGAGGTCCCTATTGAATTTGCTCGGATTATATATATATATTTTTTTCTGCAAAGTAGGCCCAAATGACAGGCCTAAACATACTCGAAAACTCACCAAAATTTGCAAACATGTCAGAACCGGTGAAAAATTTCGTATTCTACAAGTTTCGCACATGGGCGTGGCAAAATGACTCGCTAGCGCCACCTAGAAAATTGGAAATGATTAGCCCCTCGTTCACGTTCAACCTACATGTACGAAATTTTCTGGGGACATGTATCGTATCAAGACGCACAAAAAAGCCTCAAGAACCCATAGCCTAAAGTCAACAGGAAGTCGGCCATTTTGAATTTTACGGCCATTTTTGGATGATTTACACACTTCGTACTTTAACGAACTCCTCCTAGGGATTTAGTCGGATCGACGTCAAATTTCTGCTGTGCCTTCTAAAGGCATTGACGATGAAAAGTTGTGCTATTTGCGTGTTTTCGTCAATGGGCGTGTCCGTGGCGTCGATGATTCGCAATGAAACAGGAAGTTGTTGTAACTTCAGTGTACATGCTCACATCCGGACCAAACTGTACATGTAGGATGAGAGTCCCGCCCTGAACACATGTACATGCCGACATTCACCCACAGTCATAGCGCCACCTGCTGGCAACAGAAATTGACCTTTAACGAAGCAGCCCCCGCCGCACGTGTCACCTACGTGCACGAATTTTCTGTGGTACGTGTATCTTCTCCAGACGCACAAAAAAGCCTCTTGGAGCGATGCCCTAAAATCAACAGGAAGTCGGCCATTTTGAATTTTACGTCAAATTTTGGATGATTTACACACTTCGTACTTTAACGAACTCCTCCTAGGGATTTAGTCCGACCGACCTCAAATTTGTGCTGTGCCTTCTAAAGGCATTGAAGATGAAAAGTTGTGCTATTTGCAAGTTTTCGTCAATGGGCGTGTCCGTGGCGTGGCGTCAAAGATCAACTCTTCGCCATGACACGGAAGTTGTCGTAACTTCAGTGTACATGCTCACATCTGCACCAAACTGTACATGTAGGATGAGAGTCCCGCCCTGAACACATGTACATGCTGACATTCACAGACAGTCATAGCGCCACCTGCTGGCAACAGGAAGTGACTTTTAACGAAGCAGCCCCCGCCGCACGTTTTACCTACGTGCACGAATTTTCTGTGGTACGTGTATCTTGTCCAGACGCACAAAAAAGCCTCTTGGAGCGATGCCCTAAAATCAACAGGAAGTAGGCCATTTTGAATTTTACGTCAAATTTTGGATGATTTACACACTTCGTACTTTAACGAACTCCTCCTAGGGATTTAGTCCGACCGACTTCAAATTTGTGCTGTGCCTTCTAAAGGCATTGAAGATGAAAAGTTGTGCTATTTGCGAGTTTTCGTCAATGGGTGTGTCCGTGGCGTGGCGTCAGAGATCAAGTCTTCGCCATGACACAGGAAGTTGTTGTAACTTCAGTGTACATGCTCACATCTGAACCAAACTTTACGTGCTTGATAACTCTCCCACCCCGCTATGGAGGACCGATCCTGACACAGTCAGAAATAAATACAGAAATAAATAAATGCTCAATAAATAAATAAGCATCCAATTAAATACGCAAAAAAATAAAGTAAATAAATAAATGTAGGTAGTAATTAAATTATACAAGGAGACATAAATGTATATATTTTAATTAGTGCCTTTACTTATTCACCTTTGTTATAATTACCTTATTTGTTTATTCAACTTTATTTATTACTAATTTTTTTAATGTATTTATTTATGTGTGTGTTTTAATATTTTTGTCTGTTTTATTCTTCCTTTGTATTTATTTACCTTATTTATTTTCACCCATGGTATTTATTTCTGCCTGTCTTTTTAAATTTTTGTATGCATTTCTGCCTCATTATGCAAATGAGGAGGGGCTGTGTCTCAAGGGGTCATCTTCTCTGCTATTGGTGGACCAGTCAGACAGGAGAGCTCCTACTCTGCCTGCAGACATCAACGATCTTGCCCCTCACACAGTCAGATGGCTTCCTTCAGTGCGCTGAGGTGTTTAACAACTCTGAAGACAATACTACCAGCAATGTCTTCCTTCTCTTTTCACGTAGACGCTCCGACAGACAGTGCTTTCAGTTTGCTGCATGCATGGACACAGAACTGCGGTATAGGGAGAAGCACACGGTCAGCTGGCTGCAGCTAAATCTGGAGTGCACTCGTATTCAATTCTGTATGGTAAATTCAGTTTTAACGGAGCAGAGCGAGCTGACAGGCAGAGTTAGAGACTTTTTCTGTCTGTTTCTCTCTTTACAAAGACACATGTTGCAGTCAGAGTCTTCTCT